TGACTCTGAATACCCTCCCCCTACGTGCGGGGTGGGATGCTGCAGAGTCACTGAGAAACTACAATGCCACCTCACTGTGCGCCAATTAAGGAAGCAGTTCCGTTGCAAGCGTTACGGTAGGAGGTAACTATTTCATCGGAGAAAGCTTATATGATGGGAAACGAGAGAGGCTAGGATGTTCGTACGCGTGTCCTGGGACCAATATGGTGCTCTTTGAAGACGTACTGCATTGGAGAAGCAAGTTTGCGACGGTTCATTTTGCCGATGACCTATACGTTACGGAGCGAGTTCGCGTCGCACTGCCAATCAAATGGTCGGTGCACTATCACAAAAACCTCTAGAAGTTTTTTTTTGCTGAAAGTTTCATACGGGGGTAACTAATGGCCTTAGTCATATATCCGACAATTATTTCTGGCGCTGAGGCCATATGACGCCAGCATTGCGCTAAACAGCTCATGCGTGCGGTTTGACAACAGTTTCAGTGCAAGAATGCTCCTGCAACAGATCGGCGACTAGTTGTACCGTGGTCGGAAATGAGTGTGGTACTCGTGAGTTGGGCAACAAATAACCCCGTAGCCCAAATTTCAGCAAGAGTTTCCACAATAGTCTTTCGAGAGCGCGATACCTAAGTAGGGTCAGTTTGTGTACTATTAGTGCATTTCATATATCCGTGTTATATACATCACCACGCGCGCAGGAGCACAAGGAGACGGAAATCCGAAAAATGCAAAAATTGGGCTCCAAGTGGATTCGATCCACAAACTACCTCGCCGTTCGAGACCCCGTGTTCTAATGTGAGTTCTAGTTTTTTTTCCTGTAGTCCTAGTTTATAAGATACCGTCATGTTCTGCGACAATGTTCGTACAGAGCTCAACTCAAACTCAAAGCCATTGGCGATTTGTTCGGCATCAACAACTCTGTTTTCACAGTTGTCGATTTTAATCTTCCTAAATATTGTGCCATAATGTAGGTAGGTCCCAGGCTGGAGATATTTGCTTAGTTTCCATGAATGTTTGTGAGTTACTCATTCGAATTCGTCATGCTAACATTGGTGTTGTAGCTTTAACTAGGACGTGGTTTTCTGACATTACCAGTACAGAGTCATTATTTGGGGATCTGTGCGCCTAGTACAAGTCCTCAGATACGACAAGCACTAGAAACGTAGGGGCGTCATAGCTGTTATTGCCAAGAAGTTTTTTTGGAAAGTATTGAAGGAGTCGTTCGCCGGTGCGCACGAACTTGTGCGTCGACCTGCTATAGCACGTTCTAATGTGATATTAGTCCCAGTTTATAAGACACCGTCATGTTCTGCGACAATGTGAACAGTCACTCAAAAGAACTGGCGGCTTGGTCGGCACCAACAACGCTGTTTTCACAGTTGTTGATTTTAATCTTCCTGAATATTGTGCCATGAGGTGGGTAGGTGTCAGGCTTGGGTCAAGGGCTTGACGCTTCATTGAAATGTGTAGAGATCTGAATTTCCATCAAAATGTAGCGAAGTCTACTCATGGGCGAAATATTTTAGATCTTATACTGACCAACAACTTACAGCTTATAAGTAACACTAACAATATTATCCAAACTTTAATTGGTAACAGTGACCAGCCAAGTGTCGCTTTTGATGTCGATTGAGGCAAGCAAATAACAAAATAATATTCACACCTAACTTGGGAATGGAAATTTTGATACAATTAATGAATATCTTTGTGCAGTCCACTGGTATGACTTCTTCCGAAGTGTTGACACAGCTAATGAAAAATAGCTGTTTTTTGTGCTTCACCATACCATTGAATTATTTGTCCCACTCAACCCTAAAATGATCTCCCTGCCTGCAGCATGCCCGTTATGGTTGATTTCCTTTACTGAAAGCCGTGTTAGCTCTCAAAAATTATTTCATATTGCTCCAAATGTGGCGTGAGTCTCTTTTTCAGAACTTTTCAAACTACCTGACAAATATGGAAGTTATGCTAACCGGCCTGTTGGACGGATAGGAATACGGAGGATTGTTAAAGACAGCCCCCGCGCTCGAGTAGTACATGGTCGTCCTTCCTTGACACAGCCCCCAAGCTAGAGACTGTCCCACTCTATTCGTCTGCACAGCGAGGAGAAGCGAGCTACAGCCGCTGTAAGCTATAATTCTAACGCCTGCTCAGTTGAACCATTTTACTTGCTAGATGTCCTCCGACGGAGGCCACTCAGTTGTTCTTAGTCGGGACGGCGGCCATTGCTAATGCCCATGGCTCCCCTTTATTACAGTTTACTCATTGAAGGTATATACATTCAATTCTCATTTCGCAAGGTGAAACACGTAAAAAGCACGAGTGACGCAATTTTCGTGATGCAAACCTCGACGCACAAAACGTGCGCTACCGTAATCCCAAACTCGGACTCCGCCTTGATAAAATTCCTTTTTCCTTCCAGGAATTTTTCCTCTGCGTTTTTGTTGTTTTCTTTTTGTATTCCTAGGAGCTAGGGGTTGTGCAGAACTACTGCGAGATGTGATAGAGTGTGAGCTAGGGATTGCACAGAGACCGCAGGGGGGTGTGACTGTGAGGGAGCGATTTTGTTTATGTTCTGGAGGACGCTTCTTGCCTGTTTTCTTCTTTGGGAGATAACTTATCAGCTACTGTTTCATAATTGGAAAGCAGCTATTCATGAGACTTTTAGGAGCTGTCTTTAAGGATTAAGGTTATAAATGAAACGCGCCACCCTAAATGGCACTTCCGCTCTCACACGAATCAATTTGAAGAGAAGCGCAAGTGGCCCAGAAATTATGTGCGCCACTATTTTAATGAATACCAGTGGAACATGGTCGGGTGTATCCGAAAGAATTCGGGCCATCGAATCATCAACTTATATATTTCTTCCTTGTTGAACCCAAGTGAATCCTTCATCAGCGGAAAGATGGATTACTATTTGGTTCAATAGAGCTATCCCTTTTCTGGAGGGATAGCTTTCAGTAAAGGGATGGCTTATGAAATAAATAATAATATGAATAATGAAATTGAATTGAAATTGAAATGAAATAATTTCTGAGAGCCAACACGGCTTTCAGTAAGGGAAATCAACCATAACGGGCATGCTGCAGGCAGGGAGATAATTTTGGGGTTCGAGTGGGACAAATAATCCAATGGTGTGGTGAAGTACAGCCAAAAACAGCTCATATTTTCGTTAACTGTGTCCACTTCGGAAGAAGTCATACCAGTGGACTGCACAAAGATATTCATGAGATGTATCGAAAATCCCATTCCCAAAGTTAGGCACGAATATTATTTTGCTATGTTTGCCTCTCTCCCTCTCACATCGGAACGTGCTATAGCAGGTCGACGCACAAGTTCGTGTGCACCGGCGAACGACTCCTTCAATACTCTCCAAAAAAAACTTCTTGGCAATAACAGCTATGACGCTCCCACGTTTCTAGTGCTTGTCTTATCTGAGAACGTGTACTAGGCGCACAGATCCCCAAATAATGATTCGGTACTGGTAATGGCAGAAAACCACGGCTCAGTTAAAGCTACAACACCGGTGTTGGCAGGACGAATTTGAATGAGTAATTCATAAACTTTCTTTGAGGTAAGGGACGAAAAAAACCATTGCCTTTCTGTAGTAGTTCTCCTACCTATGTCTATTTCTTCTTTTAATTGAGAGCGGAGCTTCTGAATAGAGGAAAGCAATTTTGTGAAGCTCAAAGCCTCTAGTTTATTACCTGTGCTTGAGCGCACTCTAGCTCTTCCTCTCTAAATAACTTTTCCCGTTATGACTACGCTGTGTCATTTTTGTGTGACCTACGAGTTTTTTTTTGCTTTAAACAGCCATAACTTTCTCAATATGTGTGCTTGGAACAGTCATAACTTTTTCAACATTTGACATCTGAAGAAATCAAAGAACAGCCGGAATTTGGAAGACTTCCCCTCGTCAAAAATGTCCCATTTTTTTACGTTATGATAGAAAAAGTTCTCCATTGTGGTTTCGTTGTGAAAAATCTCGGACGACGCGGAAAATCCGCGTCACCGGCACAGTACTATTCCCAGTTTGTTGGAAACTTGAGTAAGCTTCTGAAAGTCATCTTTCCGTTCAAATTTTGGGAAATAATTCATTCTGCCCCAAGTGACATTCGCTCTGTACTGCACCATGCATCCAACTGCCTTGTAGAGGTGTTGTGGAGGAGAATCCTCTGGGTAAGTTTCTCCGTGAATGCGGATGTACTCCTACGGCTCAGAAAGGTCTCGGGGTATACTGTAATCTTTGTTTATTGTACCACAACGTCTTTGTGAGAGGTAAGCATACTTCTGATCCCCGCCCGTTCTCCACTATTGAGCTTGCAACTTGCCTCTGCCTTCAGGTGTCTCTTCAGGTGCTTTCCATAGCAATGACCATGAACAAATATATTATCAATAATAACGACGGCGTCAGTGGCCATGCTCAAAAAGCAGGTCTGCCCGCGTGCGAAGTAGTGATTGAGGGTCATCGCTGGTTAGAACAACTCTCTCCCTATTCTGTAGTAGGTAGTTGATTCTGATGCAGTAATAGGACTTCGAAGTTGAGAAGTCAGCACATAAGCAAACCTGTCCATTCTCCTCGTTCACTGCAAAGACGGGTCCGGTCCATTCCGAATGATCAGCTGGTGAAATAACACATGCGAATACCAAACAATCAATCTTTTCACCTTATTCTGGTCGCTCCTTTTTTTAAAACAGGTAATGTGTTCTCTAAGGAACTTCGTTTTCTTTTCCTGCATCGACCAAGCTCGCAATTGAGAACTTCTGCGTATCGTTTCTTCACGTCTACAAGTAAATGTGCTCGGACGGTATGTCCTATCTCACCATTTGGCCGTGGTACTTTCTTTGTAACACTCCTTGTGCTACTCCTGCAGGAAGCTGAACACACCAATCCCATTCAAGTAACTTTTTCGGCGTCATAGCAAAAACCATTTCCTTGAAACTTCGTTTCTGTAGTACGGTTTTTCGAGAAGAAGTGGGTTGAGTATCTTCCATCAGTCTTCATCGGTGGTCTGCCGTCTTGACTGGTATATTACAGGTTTCCAAGGGTAAAAATCCGAGCTTTCTGCATGTTCGACGCATTATCAGCGTTATACCTGCACTAGTGGGGAGTTGGCTAGCTGATGTCCTCTGACATCAACACTGACGTATGTTCTTCTTTTCTCAGCAAAAACGTTGCAACTTTCAGCATTGGCTTCTTACGACAGTAGCGCTGCCTTCTCGGTTCCTTTGAAGATCTGTTTGAGAAGTGGACAAGCGCTCTTGAAAAATTAATCAAAACTAAATTAAAATTTTTCTGAACAGCATAGATGTCACGGCTTGTTTTTGGTGTTATCCATATCCATCTTCGAAGCTGTGAAATTCTCACAGTCGGGCACAGCATTAGGATCTTCGATTGCAAGCAGTGCGTGTTCTGCTTGCGTGTCGAGCCTTAGCGAAGCGTTCTAAGAAGTATTTCCTGAACTTGAAGCGAGCTTCTTCGTCCTTGGTTGGTATTGATGTGTTTGCAGAACGACACGCTGTCGTACAATGCTGGGCAGGTTGTTTTCAGACATTCATACCGCCGTCGTATTAACGTTTTCTGGGGTGCAAATAACTTTCGGAACTGTTTCCTATATTTTAATCGGAATCTGTGTCGTGCGGTTTTAACGGTAACCATCATCTGCACGCTTGTGGTAGTGGAAGGTGTATGCGGCATCTCCGACAGCCTTTTCCATTGTTCCAGCTCGGCCCAAGTGAATTGAATAGGTTTCCTCTCTCCAGGCTGCATTGATTGCAGTTGCTGGATCGTAGACTGTAAAGTACCTCAAGTGTGGCCGAGCAGGGTTTGTATCGCCTGACGACTTTGGCATCTTTTAGGTCCTGGTGCTGGTAGATCCTGATGCTAGTGTGTGCTGGCCTCCAACGTTCTCTAGCGCGACAGGCATTACCCTAGAGGTTTACTACACAGCCAGTGAGTTAAATGAAAAGTGAACCATACTCAACAAATATTTCCTTATAGGAGAACCAGCTTAGTTAGCGCACACTTCTGCGCGCCTGAAGTGATAAAGCAATGCGAAATGATTTACAGCAGAAAATCACGATCAATACTGATTTGCTTTTCTCATGTGAATCTGGTTGGTTTTTCTCGATTCTGTTGCAGTCTTCAAGCGTGAATAACCCTCCAAGTTGACTGCCTTTATGTCTCATCGAGTTTCGATGACATTGTCCCTCACTAATCTCGAATATCATTGTCACCCTACCTGTTTGATTTGCCTGGCACAATATCACATACGTGCTTCTCTGATAAGTTTTAGCAGTGAGATTATTCTGGAATTCTGTTGTGTCATCCAGATGCGCAAAACTATGCAGAATGAGTGGGATACAATTAAATAGGAATTCATCGGAAATCAAATAATATAGTAGTATTCGAAGAAAAGATTAAGAGAAAGAGTGGGGCTATCAAAAACCGCAACAGAACAAACAGACAGCATATCCTCAAGCTCACTGCAACGGACGAACTCTAATTCCATGTGCCATACACTACATCATATCTTGGAACCAACGTCGCACCATTGCTGGGACCGGCGCTATAATTTTGGTGACTGTCCCCTTCTGACGTTCCTTGTTGAATCTTATGAACTGTTATCGCTTTCTGTCACCCGCAATGATCTTCTCGTCGCACTCCCTGAATAACTTTCAGGAACCACATTCCTGATGTTCCTGTGGGGCGCATTATGAGTTCAGTGACGCTCCCCTTCTAACACCACTTATCAGCTGTTACAAATTGCTAGCACTTCCTGTCACCCACTAATAGTGTTTCCGTCTCACCCACTATATCACATACCAATTTGAGCTATCTAGATCAGATCAAGGAAGTTTTGATTTTTTTCGGGCAAGCACCCACACACACACGCATACAAACACACCAACAGATAAACGTAGCGAATTATAGGTACTATTTACCCTTTACTGCCCCAGCCATCCAAAATCAGGCCAGTTCCTGACCGACTTTTTTCTCCGTGGGCTTGCTGAAAACTTGACTCTAGGGGTAGTTCGACCCGCTGAACACGAATATCGCATCCGCTTGATCCGAAACCTCCTTGCGCCCGCGCCACGGGCGCCGGCGCCAATATACTCAAAATCACCAAATTCGCTGAAAACTTGCTCTTAGGGGTAGTTTGACTCCCTGAACACGAATATCACATCCGCTAAACCCGAAACCTTTTAGCGCCCGCACCACGGGCATCGGCGCCAAAATACCCTAAATCACTGGCGCCGGTGGCGCGGGCGCCAAGAAGTTTCGGGCTGAACGAATGCGATATTCGTATTCTGAAGGTCAAGCTACCCCAGGAAACAACATTTGAGCAAAATCTGCCCATGGAGAAAAAAGTCGGTCAGAAACTGGCCTGATTTCGGATGACTGGGGCAGTAAAGGGTAAATAGCGCCGAATTATATATAGTAAGATGATTTGGCGTTGCGCATGAGTATCACTATCATTCCACTTCTTGAAAACGAGTTTGTGTTTTCCTAGAAAGAGCAATTTCAATTGGAACGTAATCTGGATTATAAAGTGTGGCAGTAGAGAGTAAATAGTGCCAAACAGGAGGCCGCTAGCAGCAGTTGTCCGGTCCGAGTAAACCTTTGCGGAATATGGACTTCGTCTAGAATCGGTTGAAAGAGTGTGAAGGCTAGTTCAACAATCAGAGCAGCAAGCACTTCCAGTGATCGGATAGAATAGTAGCTGGCCGTGGACTCTCGTTGACGTATGTGTGTTGTATTCACGGCTTAACAGGGTGGCGAATTTTTGTGTTTCTTCGGTCAGGATGCGCTTTTGTCTTGATATGTCTATGCATGCTCTTAACTCGAATTGAACCATATGGGCACTTTCCTCATAATGATATCTCAAGACTCGGTAATATTTAACTAGCGCAACGCACAAGTCTCGTTGGAAAATTACTGCTGACACTCGATCCATAGGATCTGATCACGCCAAAAAAGTGTCACAATAACGATCAGGGTAGGCCCTTGTAATTTCCGTGCGTGTTGGTTGTACACAAGACTCAGACATATACGAGCAGAAATATCAAACATTAGAAGATTGCAAATTTTTCTCACCATGGGCACTCGAATCACAAACCGGTTGTTAATCCTTTTTGACATCCCCAGAGTTGTTAAGCGAGAATGTGCCTCAGTTTCATAGCTGATACTGGCTGAGAACAAGGTGGCTGCTGCGCTTTTTTGTGAGATATTTTCATTGGGAGATTATTGTAATCATGTCATTGTCCAACACAAGACAAAATGCTAATCTCATACTGGAATATCCCTTCATACCTACTCTACGCCATGATCAAATGGAAAACGTAGCCGCGCCTTTATCGTTTCAGGATGTGATGTGTATAGGTTGCATCATAAGTTGGGGATTTTGATCGAGTCCGGACGACACCCTCTCTGAAAAGTGGCTTGGTACGACCCCCCCCCCCTTTGTTCCCATCTCTGTGACTGACCACAATCAAGACAGACGCGTCTTTCCATTAATGCGCTGGTGGACTGGATAAGATGGTTTCTTCTCGTCCAAAATCGATTGCTCTCCTGCCATTCCGTTGAAAACGCGAACATTTTTATTCATATTGTTTGCGCACATGCTTACAAATATTCTTTAATGATCGTGTGGGCTTAGTGGGAACTCCCTGTCTAATGACTTGACACAGGTTGCGATCGATACAGTCTTCTATAATAGTTCTTCGTTATCCACAGCATCGAATCATCTTCCTCGCTATTCGTACTCAGTGCTGCCAATTTTGTCACGGAAGCACAGGAAACATCGATGCAGTTGCATTAAAGATGGGATTTTGCTGAAAGACTCAACACGATGACAATCTAAAGTTGTCAGTAGAACAATCGAGAATTTCGGATAGGAGAAAATTTGCTCTTTCAAAGGTTTTCCCGATCAAGTATTACGCTGGGTGTTCAACTATAAAACGATATCCGATAAATGACTGCCAGCAAGATGAAGCATTAAATGAGCTTCCGAAAGACTCTAAATGAAATCCCTCCCGGACAGTCACACAGCCTCATTCTACAAAATCGTCACACAGCCTGATTAAACGAAACCTCCGCACTTGCGACACCCTTCGACCTCTATGCAACCCCTGGCTCATAAATCGTCTCTTCTGAACATTCAGCACTAAATCCTATTCAACACTAGGAAAAGAACAAATAGGGCTGGACAAGACACATAGCAGAAAATAGCATCTTAGAACTCTGTGCGAAATGACTGCTACGGTAAACAGTGCACGCCGAACTTTGGCACCAGCGCACTGGTAATTCAAGTAGTGCCTGAACGTATTTTGCCTCACAAAAGGACTGCTACTAGATTATCGTTTCCAAAAATGGTATCCAGTAAAAGCAGAACAACTTGCAAGCCTGCAGAAGAGACGACAAGCCATCATTCGCTGCGTTGAGCACATATCATCTTACGACGCTGCTGGCAACAGAACGCATAGTCGTAATTCTTGTGAGTCACTGTTTCAAAGGCTAAGAACATCAAAGACAAGGGTCACGTGTCCGTGGCGCTTTATCTCGTGCTTCCGAGTGACCAAGTGGTGCACGTTCTGTGAGTGAAGAACTGGATGCAAAATACATAGAGCCGTTTGGTCGCAGCGCTCGAAAAGGCACAGGCGATGCGTCTGATCGACCATCTCGAACCAAAAATTTGATTTGGGAAAACCATTGCTTAGTGACATCTGGGGATCTCGGGTTATGTCAGAAAACACTTGGAAAAAATGCTCTGTCAACGAAAAAATTATTGCGGTAAAATAAACATGCAAACTGAAAGCAGCATTCCCAATTGGCAGCCCGGTAATATTGGGTGAGCCCATAAGTGATGCCGTTCTTTACTTCTTGAAATGAAAATTTGCATTGAAGGCCAACTTCTTCCCCAATGACTTCTACATTGTGTGATAGACGATTTCCTGCTCCATAACACGGGTGCCTGACTTTTCTGAGAAATCTGTGTCCATTGATTTTCAAATGTTCAAAAAGGAGTGTCATGTCAACGAGACTGGGCATTCTCGACACGCCCTCCTTTCCCCACATTCTTAAAAAGCTGGAACCGCTGAGGCCCACCCGACAAGTATATAGTGACGCAACGATGTCTATTAGGAAGGCGTGCAATAAGTAAAGCAAATCAAAACTTCAGTTCAGACCTCACACACTGCTACCAACCTACTCCACTACTGAGCTCAGTTGGGAGCCTATTGAAGTAACATATTCGGGGAGATCCTTGCCGAAGAATGAGGAAATTGTAGAGTTCATGGGATGCTTCCACATCATCATTAGGTAAAGCCTCCACTCGATGGGAGAGCTTGAATACTTGGTGAATGGGTTCTATAGGCAGTTTCCCTCCAAGGGGCGCCCCCCATGCGATGCACATTTTGGGTCCTAATTCCCTTCTCTTAATCACTTGAAGCAACTTCATAACGCCAAAAGAGGCATCCTCCTTTGGTCACGCACCAAACAAGACAGGATGGGAACTTAGATTGGCAGGAATTTTAGCTGTCAAAAAGGCAAAAGTTAGTCATTTGCTGTCAAAAATCCTCATTTGTGTTGACCCGACTTTTTATTTCGATGCACTAAAAACTGACAAGAGTTAAGGAAGAGTGGGGAAACTAGGCACACAGGCTTATAGAACAGAAAATTTCTTATTGAACAATGTCAGGCATGAGGATGAAATTTCAACTTTTTGCATGGAATTTCGTGTAAAAAGACCATTACTTATGGCTCGACAC